GCTATGGTGAGATGATGTGTGGGGTTAAAGTGAAGGATAGGAGGAGTAGTACAGAGCTGATGTCAATGATGGGACTGAATGAGGACATTGTGACATTGATAAGGAGATCGAAATTGCGGTGGTATGGACATGTGTTGAGAAGGGATGAAAGGGTCGGGATTAGGCGAGCGTTGGAGTTCGAGATTGAAGGAGTGGTAGGAAGGGGTCGTCCGCGATTGGGATGGAGAGAGCAGGTGGAGAAGGACAGGGTGAAAGCGGGGTTGCGTGATACTGAGGCAAGTGACAGATGTGGATGGCGTCGAGGGGTATTTCGGTTTCATCATAGGTAGCCAAACGGCAACCCCCGATCTCGGGGAAAATGTCGTCTAAACGTGTGTTGTTGATGGCAAAGAAAACAACGTCCTACCTCGGGGTAACTGGGTCTCTGGACGCTAAACGAAGATTGATTGATTATAATTAATTATTATTAATTATATTATTATATTATTATGTTATTATTACTATTAATTATATTATTATTGAAGTTTTTCATCGCCTGCTCTCTCGTACAGATATTCACCAAAAGAAGACCAGCTTCAAGGAAGATAGTTCAAGGTGGAATGAGTGAACTCTCAAAGAAGCAAGTCCACCAAGTCGTCAGCAGTAGCAGATATGATAGGGACAATCATGATGACGTCAGCATGGATAACCATGGAGATGATGATGAGGATGGTGATGGAGGTGAGGTGATGAAATATGATGAGGTGATAAGTTTCTTGAAGAGGAATGGCTACAACGATGCGTTGCTTCTCTACCTGGAAGAGCTGGTGTCTGCCAGGAACATCAAAGTAAGTGATGGAGATGATGACGTTGTTTTTGTCGTTGTTGTTGTTTTTTGTTGTTGTTATTGTTGTTGATGAGGATGAAGATGATAACAAAACTTGAGATACATTATATATAAATGCCAGCAAATACCGAAACAAAAGCTACTTATACCCGCCATATTTGATAAATTAAGTCTAACTGAACAGCTGAAACTGTGCTTAATTAAAACATTGGCGTCTGCATTTCTCTATTAAATATATTTCATTAGAACAAAAATTACCAATTGAAATGTTTTATTAGGTATCTAGTCTGTTGTTCACGCCATGATTATAAAATTTTACATTGTTATTTTATCTGGCCAGCTTGACTAAACATGAGTAACTGAATATTTACTTTCCATAGAAGGAAAGTCTCAACACACAGCTGGTTTTGTTCTATCTAGATATTGTCATAAAAGAACGACAACAGCAACTACAACAACAATTGCCCCAACAAAATCAGCAACAACAACAACACAACATTACTCAGTTGAACGATGTTTCTCCGATAAGGTATGTTGGCTCTTCAGTCGTAATTATCGTTACAAAGAATGTATTAGTTACTATGTAAAGAAGCAGAAGAAAACTGCATACAGTTACTCACAAACACACCACTCCCCACACAAACACGTAATACACACGTTCTTAATAATTAATAATAAAATAATTGAATTACGTATATGATATGGTAACATATGTATATCTTGATTATGCTTACGTGGTAACATAAATATATATATATATATATATATATGTGTGTGTGTGTGTGTGTGTGTGTGTGTGTGTGTGTGTGTGTGTGTGTGTGTGTGTGTATTTATACAATATATATGTGCAAACATGTATGGATGGCCGTACAAACACATACAGATTTACACACCATACGTTCATACACACACACGCACACACATAAAAAACACACACACACACGTCCATATACATTCACACAAACAAACACACACACACAGAAGAAAACTTCGAGACCTACTGCAGACTTCGACGACATTCAACATTCCTCAGACCTTGGCCAGGGTTAAAGAGGCAGAGCTCCACCATGAAGAGGCTATCTTGTATGGAAAGGTTGCTTCATCATTCCCTCTCTCCAACTTTTTATTAATTACTGAGGCTCATGACCATTTTCCGGATGGATGGATGAGTGGATGGATGGATGGATGGTGGATGGATGGATAGATGGATAGATGGATGGTGGATGGATGGTGGATGGATGGATGGATGGTGGATGGATGAATGGTGGATGGATGGATGGATGGATAAATGGATTTATATATAGGTAGATAATTTAAAAATTCAATTTAAATTTCAAAAAATCTTTTATTCATTGGTTTTATTCATTAATTTGATATATATGTGTATTTATTTATTTCAAAACACACACCAGAAGCCAATTATGGGCTTTTGTGGTCCTAAAAATCACAAAAATAAAACAATTCCAAAAGATAGTCGGATAAATACACAAAAACAGAAAAAACCTCAAATCTATACATAAAGTCATCGTCAATGAACCAAAAGCTAAGTGAAATAATTAGCCAGCAACAGTTCAATAGCTAGCCCCTTTCTTTAGCACTCCCACCAAACTGACACCCGGCGTCGAATCAGATGGTAGCCATTTCCAAAACTTCACACCAAAGTTTAATACAAAATTAGAATGCAAGACAGTAAGGGAATGAGATAGGAAGGATGCACTTTGGGTATGACGCAACACCAGGACAGCAGTCGAAGATGACGTCACTAAAAAAGGATGGGACTGTGGATGCATAATTTGAAAGAATTAACTTGTAGAAACATTATAAAACTCATGATACATGCAACTGGATAACAAGCCGGACTGTGAAAAAGAAAGCGAAATGTTGTCAAATATTTTTAAATTATAATAAATTCTAATAAAAATCCTGACAACCAGTATTGGCATATGACATTTAATCTGACGACCCGAAATAGTATAGATATATCTGATAGTATATCTATTATTTTTAGTATTTGATTGGATTTCTTTCTATCGTCATCAATGTCTTTTTTCAGAATAACCTTTTACCCATGTAACTTATTTGTTTCAAAATTAAAACACAAACTGCCAGCGTCGAATAAGTAAAATAAATAAGTAAATACGTTTAATTTTTATATAAATGTATTTTTATTTATTGCATATTTATATACACGCACGCGCGTACATCGTCCACCCACATCCATATCGTGTAGATGGAGCAACATAGCAAGGCACTGGACATCCTGACGAGAAGGCTCAACGACTACGAAGCGGCTGAGATGTACTGTGTGGCCAACTCCGAGAACAAGTCACCCGGCTTCAAATGCAACCTCTTCCACGCTCTTCTCGATATCTTCCTTCAAGATAAGGATATGTGAGTTGTGATAATGATGATGATGGTGATGATGAAGAAGAAGAAGAAGATGAGAAAGAAGATGAGGATGATGATGATGGTTATGATGATGAAGAAGATGAAGATGAGAATGATGATAATGGTAATTGCGATTATGACGGTTATTTAAATTATTTCACCAATGTTTATGAGGTTTATATCATTGATTGAGAGGTCACGTAATTAAGAGTTTTCATGTTCTGTACTACGATGAAATATTTTCTCATGACTGACTGATGCAAATAAGTCGTGATGATGATGACGGTGAGTCGAGTTGAAACCACGCAGTTCAGAAAACGAGAGGATGACGAGGGTTGTTGATCTGCTGAATGGTCATCGCGGGGCATTCGATATCGTCAAGGTCAGTTGCTGGTCTTTTCTTGGTTTTTGTCCTTCTATAGTTATTTGTACCATGTTTTGTTTATTTTTGTTTTCTCTTAGAGCTTTTGAAAGTTGATGCCAAATTAGTCGAATGTCAATTTTTTATTTCCTTGCTTCCATCTTATTTGTTTGCACATTTTTTTTCTTTGTAATTCAACTGACGTTAACCGTTCAACACTGCACGCACGTTCGACAAGCAGCTCAACTGCATAGTCATTCAGATGTTGACATACACACAGACGGACATACACTCATACACATGTTCATACAGAGAAACGCACACAGACACGCACACACACACGCACGCAACGCCTAGGTTATGGATGCCCTCCCGAAACACTGGCCCTTTCAAAAATTCAGCGACTTCTTCATTCCAGCCATTGCCAAGACCAAATCCGACTGCAACCAGTCCCTCGTCGTCATGAACCTGGCCAAAGGTGAGAACATGCTCGTCCGCAAGCAGAGGATCCAACTCTGCCGAAAGTTCGTCCTAATGAGCGACGATACGTAAGTTAATGTTATCTGTCGTTTTACACTTTTCAACAGCTGCCAGGGCTGGTCTGACCTCTTAAAGGATTGCGAAAACACTCTGATACCTTTGATTGATTATTTTCCCATCATATTAATCCCATGCTTCATATGACGTTGCAGTGAGCTGAGATGGACATTAGCAATTTTTTAGATTAAGAATTTTTTGATTTTTTAGATTAGATTTAGAGTTTTTAGATTTTAGATTAGATTGTTTAACTGTTCCTTATTAACATAAACACAGAAAGAGATTACATTTCTTTTGTCTACTGTTTGACCCAAACATACTAATCGATGATATTCTTGCTTAATTGCTTATGACATAATCGAAGATATTCTTTATAAAATAAGTTATATAGACATAAACACCCGAAAAATAGGTTATGTGCGGTGTGCAACAAACCCTTCAAAGAGCCCATATTCGTCTGCCATCCAACAGACAACACCATCACCCACAAGTACTGCCAGTATAACTTGTCACCATTATCTTCGTCATCACCACTACCACAGCCATCATCATCTTATCGCCGGTGACTGGACTGAGATCATTAAATGCGTTTTTTTCATTGTTGTTGTTGTTGTTGTTGTTGTTGTCGTTGTTGTCGTCGTTGTTGTCGTTGTTGTTGTTGACACTTGTTGATGTTGTTGTTGTTGACACATCTGAGAATTGTTAGAAAGGATTGTTAAAAAAAAGTTATGGTAGTTACTGCCACACCTAGTTGTATTTATTGTTCCCAGCTTCATCGTTGTGTTAATTTCATTAATATATGTCCCTTAGTATCACACATGCATGCACGCATGTATGCATGAATAGATAAATGAATGGATGAATGAATGGATGGATGCATAGACCTACAATGTCTGATGGTGTGCATGAACATATACGGTTAACAATGCATAATCATTTTCATCATCATCTATCTTTATGATTGCCAAATTATGAAATTATTGTTTATATCGTTGTTGGTTTTTAGAACACTCAATTTGAATTATGATATTTATTTCAGTTGCACAAATCCAGGAGACCATACACACGCGTACACACACATACATGCACGCACACACACACACACACACACACACACACACAAAGATACAAACACATAAATCACACACACATACACACAAAGATACAAACACGTAAATCACACACACACACACACACAAAGATACAAACACATAAATCACACACATACACAAAGATACAAACACATGAATACAAACATACACGTAGATATAAAATACTTCAGGCGACTTTTTACCGCAACAGCGTTTGTTTTTATCGTACTGTTTTATATCGAAAACTTGTTTACATTTTTCAGTTTTATTTCACTTTGTATTGCGCGTAATGCAAGCACTGCAAATCATGTGTAGTTGAAGTCTACATCATCACCTTCGTCATCATCATCCTCATCATCTTTGTTTTCATCATCATCGTCATCATCATTTTCGTCATCATCATCATCTTTGTTATCATCTTCATCATCTTTGTTATCATTTTCGTCATCATCTTCGTCGTCATCATCATCATCTTCTTCATCATCATCATTTTCGTCATCATCATCATCTTCGTCATCATCATCATCATCTTTGTTATCATCATCATCTTCATCTTCGTCATCATCATCATCTTCGTCATCATCATCATCATCATCTTTGTTATTATCTTCATCACCATCATTTTTGTCGTCATCATCATCTTCGTCATCACCATTTTCGTCAATTTCACCTCGATCGTCTTTGTCGTCATCATCACCTCTATTCACCACAAGCACACATTTATTTATTCATTCATTCATTCATTAAGTTATTTATTTATTATAAATTTTATTTATTCTTTTGTTTATTTATTAAAGTATATTATATAATCGGGTGTTTAGTAATTCAGTAATTAGGTTATGTTTCACTGCATTGAAGATTGTTCTTTACTAAATATTACAAATGAAGACTCAATTTCATTAACTAGTTTATTCCTTCATTTATTACTTCATTCACTTATTCTGTTGTTAATTAATAAATTAATCAATCAATTAACGCAATAATTTATTGATTAATTAGTTATGTAACTCATTAATTAATTAATTGACTCAATCAACTAAGTATTTTTATTAAATAAAAGGTGCATTGCTTTGCAATACACCAACAGAAAATGAGTTGTCATGATGTTATCAAATCATTATTGTACCACGTTTAAACCCATTATTTCTGGTAAAACGCTGGAAAAACGCAGGCCAAACCACTTAGAATCTGTTGTCTTGCAGCTTTGTAAATTTACGGAGAGAAAATTGAATAAATACAAAAATACCCGCATAAATTGTGAACGGCAGTTTGTGGAAAAAATAAACAAAAAATTTCTTTTTATAAATGGTAAATCATGAATCGTTTAAATTAACTGTCGGTTGTTTAAGTCTAAATTGCGACGAGAAATTTTGTTAAATATAAGCGCTAGAAAATCAAGGTGCACTTTAATCGATTTCACCTGTATTGTTTTGTTTATTTAATTAGAATGTATGAAATCTCGAATAAATATAATCATAATTTAAATTAATATAATGAAAGATTAATAATATTTATAAATATAATATAAATTTGTTACATTGATTGTATATCTCAATTTAAAGTTTTATAACAAATTGTTCTAGGTAGTTACTTTTCTATTAGTACCAGTAGAAGTGTACTATAATTATAATAATTATTATAATTATAACATAAATAATTAAATATAATATTAATACTGTACTGTATAACACCATGCTATAACCATTACATTACAGTGCAATACAAAAAAAGTATTAAATTAAATTTAAAAATATACAAACTAACTACAATATAAAAACACAAGTAATTATTTCATTTTAATTTTTATTTAAGATTAAATTTTAAAATTAAACATTTTTTAAAATTCAGATTAAACATTTATAATTAATATTTTTTACTTTTTGTGACCTAATTAATTAATTAATTAATTAATTAATATACTTGGCATAGCATTCTTAATATAATTCAAGATATTTGAAGTGTCGTATTGAGTAACAGTTATTGAGTTATAATATAAAACCAGCATAAACTTTATAGTTTATACTAAGCTTGCATTCATGAACCCACTCAAAATATACGTATGACTATGTGAAATGATATTACATTGATTGGTTGTATTAATTTGTTTTATCGCAGAGGAGATGACAAAAATGCCTTCAGATAATCAAATGTCTGGAGCAGGTTCGTTTCAAATAATTATTTTGTTGTTTTGTTGCTATTAAGTTAGTCGCTGTGTTGTTGTTGTTGTTGTTGAGTTGTTAGTATGTAATTTGTTTTGTTATTGCTGTTGTACTGTTGTTGTGTAATAAGTTAAATTGGTTGTTGTGTTATATTAAACATAGATGTAATAGGTTTGATAGTTCATGTTTCGAACATCTAACTAAAGTTTTGGTAAAATGCTTATTTGCCAGCTGATTGGATGTTTTAAAAAATTAGGAATGCAGTGTAGTGATAGTGAAACTAATTTTAAAATGTAAAATGACAACCGATAACTACAGTTAATCATTCACTTTGTGACAAAACTCATGACAACAATTCACCCAACAACGACAAAACTAACTCAACAGACCACCACACATCAACAACAACAACAACAAACCACCACACATCAACCACAACAACAAACCAGCACACACCAACAACAAACCACCACACACATCAACGCCAGATGCGTTCGAGTTGGTGTGCGACAACTTGAACTCACCCAACTTCGAATCATCCGTTGGTGCCAATGAGGATGACGTCACCTTCCTTTCCGACCTACTCAACAACATTGTCGTCTACGGGCTCGTTCAGGTAAAAAAAGCTCAAGCACACACATGCGCACAGACACATCCAAACACCAACATACAAATAGCAACATACAAACACCAACATAGGCTCACGAAGTTTTGGAAGAAGATCCCGGCCAGCCAGTGAGTTGCGACAACATCGAACTGCTGCGGGGCATCAATGACGACCTCGCTGTTTTGGCCCTCAAAAACCAGCATGCCAAGGAACTCTACACCATCATCAGAGGCCCTTATTTCAAGGTTGGGGGTCAGAGTCCTAACAACGTTTGTGCTGTGTTTGTCAAGGTGTTGTTGAGAAGGTTGAGGGTGTAGTTGGTTGTCGTGTGTTTATTTATGTAGGTATGCGTGTGTGAGTGTGTGTGTTTGTGTGTGTGTGTTTGAATGTACGTATGTATGTGTGTATGTATGTGTATTTATGTTTGCATGTGTTTTTGTATGTTTGTATGTGTATTTGCATGTTTGTATGTATAAAAGTATGTACGGATGTTTGTTTACATACAAACAGTCGGTGATAGAGACGCACGATGATGTTGCCTCGAAGAACTTCGAAGCCCTCCCCGACATGTTCCCCATCGCCAGCACCCAGCCACAAATCTTCCCCATCCACACGACGGACGCAATTAGGATGGTTGGGATCAGGAAGAATCCGGATGAGTCATTGGTGGGTGCTGTCTGTGTCTGTTTATTTATCTATCTGACTGATTGATTGTCTGTCTGTCTGTTTGTTTGTTTGTCATATTGTTGTTTTTCTGTTGCTCTCATCATCATTGTCGTCGTCGTCACCACCAGGGGATCACGGTCAGGAGCGAGGAGAATGGACTGGTAGTTGCCAGGATATTGGCCGGCAACATGATCGACAAACAGGGTTGGTCGTTGCGGCTGTTCTGGTTTGGTAGTTGGTTACGTTGTTGCAGTTGTTGTTGCTGTTGAGTCGTGTTATTGTTTCTTGTTTTAACTTAGTATATATTTCAATTCACTTCATTTAATTTCTGCTGTCGTTCGTTGCCTTATTATTTTTTATTGTTATTTTTCCTTTACGTTGTCGTTTCATTGCGCGATGACGTCATCTCATTCCAATCCGACGCAGGTCTGCTGCACGTTGGTGACGTCATCAAGGAGATAAACGGCCAGGAGGTGAACAGTCCGGAGCAGATGAACGACCTGCTGAAGAAGTCCAACGGCAACATCACCATGAAGATCCTGCCCACCATGGAAGATCTCTCTCTCTCCACATTGGTTGTCTATTACATTCTATAGCGCCAAATCTTCAACTAAATATTAACAACCAGCCAACCATCCAATCAATCACTCAATCAATCAGTTAACCAACCAATCAATCGACCAATCACTCAATCAGTCACCAATCAATCAGTCAACCAACCAACCAATCAGATCTTTTTAAAAGCCCACTTCGACTACGATCCGCACCGAGACAACTTGATCCCATCAAGGGAGGCAGGGCTAAGTTTCAAAGATGGAGACATCCTGCAAGTCATCAATAAAGATGATCCGAGCTGGTGGCAGGTCAGTGGGCGGAGTCTACGCTCATGAATATTAATTAGTTTATTTTATGATTTTTCATTGGCTTCCGTCTTTAAATATTGATTATCTTACCTCATTTGTTATTGTTATCGATTAGCTTATTTTAATTATACATTAACAAACTCATTTTATGAATGTTAATTACTTACTTCATATTCAATAATAGCTTACTCTAACAAATATCTCATTAGCATATACTTTTATCAACAATACTAAACTTAACTCCATGTAAATCTGTTAACCTGTAACTGTTTCCAAATTAAAATTATGAATGAATTCTTTTTCATGAATATATTTATTTGGAAACATTTTTCATACTTTCCTAATTGTTTAAAAAAAATTATTCAGGCGAAAAAGGTGGGAGACGATTCATCTGGACTCATTCCCTCGCAACAACTCGAGGAAAAAAGGAAGGCATTCGTCAGGCCCGAGTTCGACTACACGCACAACTCGCGTTTGTGATACATTCATGATGCTGCATTTTGTGTTTACGATCCATTAACTTTTGCTTCATTCACTTTCCAGCCATACGATCATAGCACGGTGTTATAATTATTGATGTAACTGTTGATGAAATTACTGATGTAATGTTATGACGTAATTGCGATGTAATTATGTATAAAGATTAATGTAATTGCTAATGTAAAGATTAATGTAATTGTTAATGTAAACATTGATTTAATTATTAATGTTAACATCGCATTAACTCATCGCATCAGTGCTGTGCGGAATTATAACGAAGAAGAAGAAAAAGATGATGTACCATTCTAAGCAGAGCACCGGTTTGTTTACATCATCATCATCACCACCACCACCATCATCATCATCATTATTCATCATCATCATCACACGATATACAAAATTTTATGACATCATAACACGATCACAACAACACATCATCTCCCAAGACAATCATAACATCTCATTACATTTATTGGTTAACTGATATTTGGCTTACGTCTCTTTATTGTTGGTTTGTTTGTTTTTCTTTTTTCTCACGTGAATAAACTTGTAGAAAAAAACAACAACACAGAATTTGACAAAAGCGAGTTAGCAATTTACGAGGAGGTTGCCCGCATGCCCCCTTTCCAACGAAAGACCCTCGTTCTGATTGGGGCGCAGGGCGTGGGTAGGCGAACATTCAAACAACGACTCATCAAGGCCGATCCTACTAGATTCGCTTCCGTCCTTCCACGTGTGTTTCTCATGGTTTTCTTGTTTTGATATTTCTCTTGTTTTGTTGTTTCTCCTGTTTTGATGTTTTACTCTGTTTTGTATTCTGTTATCCTGTGTTTATTGTCTTATTTATGGTATATATTTAGTTACATTATTTCAAGTTCGGCATGAATCTTCTTCTCCCATCTATTCTTAGTCTCCCCCGCCATGATTCATCGCCATCCACATCCTCTCCATCATCACCACCATCCTCCCTCCAATGAAACACCCCATCCCCGCAGACACAAATAGTCCTCTGGAACCTGGAGAAGAAAATGGCGAGTCGTATTGGCACGTGACGACTGATGAGATGATCCAGGACATCGCGGCCAACAAGTTCCTCGAGTACGGCGAGTACGAAGGGTACTTTTACGGTATCAAACTGGACACCGTGAGGCAGTGCGTGCGATCCGGCATGATGTGCATCCTTGATATTAGTCCTCAGGTTCTTTTTTTTATTGCTCCGTTGTTATGTTGGTTATGGCGAGGTTTGTTCCGGATAGTATTGAAGATCACTGAAAGTAATTTGTTTGTGATGACGTGTTAAAAAGTGTGATGAATCTTAAATGCATTCATTACGAATGATTAATTTCGTACATTTTTGTACTACATCTGTATAAATTAAACTTTTGTACTATCATCCATCATTCGACCGAACAAAATGGAAAATATTATAACATAATGGCATTTGTTTACCACACCAGGCCTTGAAAGTAATAAAAGTTGCGGAATTCATGCCTTACGTTGTCTTCCTAGCTGCCCCAGGAGTTGAGATCCAGAGGAATATGTACGAGTGGGCGCGTATGCAGAGGAAGATTGACAAGTACAAATCCGTAAGTTGACCGCTGGTTCTGTTTGATATGCTCTTTCATTATCTGTGCGTACTGCCGCTTGCAGTTTTGTCTGTTGAGTTTGTCGCATTGCATATGGCGTGCATCTTAGTAAATCGTTCAAAATTTCATTTCGTATGTGAAGGTATAAACTTCTTATCAAACAAATATTTTGATAACGTTCCTCTCAGGAACGTGATTTCCGTTCGACACACGAGGAGAGTGCGAAAATTGAGCGGCAGTACAAGCACTACTTCGACCTGACCATCGTCAACGACAACTTCGACGAGACCTACAATCGACTGAGGAGGGCCATAGAGTTGTTGAGCACGGAGGCCCAGTGGGTCCCCATCACCTGGGTCTACTGATCCCTTACGCCCTCCTCCTCCTCAATCCCTTCTCTTCCATGCCACCATTAATTGAATTGTTTGTTTAATAGTTATAATGTTAACATTCATCCTGAAACCTTTACTGCCGAGATTAATTCATTCCAACTGCCTTCATTCATTCTTAATTTAGATTTCGTGTCACTAGTTTATAATGTATCATTGTAACATAATAAACATCATTCACGTATAAATTCTATTTTTTTTTTTATCAATAGTTAGTAAGAAATAATCATTGACGTATAAATTAAAAAAATAAATTTCATTGAATGCTTTAATTAATTGCATTAATTAAATACTTGGCGTGCCGAAAATTTTACAATTTTCAAAACCCATTCATCATAATTCTCGTCCAACCTTACAACCAATGATGTGAAATTATTTATATTCATTGAATTGTTGTTCATTTTTTACTAATTAGTGTTACAACGTGTCAATCGTTAGCAATTTCATTACTCTCATGAATTTATTTAAGAAATTCAACCGTTGTTTATAGGATTCGTAGATTCAGGCTGGATTTTGAGTTTGTTCTTAATAAAGTGCTGGCACTTTTCGGTCAGTTACTCGCTTGGAAACTTTTTCGCTTAACTGCGCAGCGAATTATACTGAAGATTACTTTCTCGAATATTATGAATGCCAATGTAAAAGTCGCCACGAAGTTAAGTTCTTTCTGGGATTAAAAAGTTCACTCTCTTGTAACTGTAAACTCCCGTATTTGACTCATTTTTGGTATTGTTTGATTCAAGCGTGGTTTTTTCTGCAAATTAATAATATGCTTCTTTCTCTAGCAACTTTTACATCACTCACTAAGTTCAGTTCAGAGTGGATCGGTTTGTAAAATTAAAATTCATTGAGAAGCGCCGTTGAACATTGTGGCAGATTTTTAAACTAATAAGCAGAGAACAACGCTAATATATTAAACTTTTTTTTATTCAAAACTTGCTAGTTAAAGAATAAATTCAGTTAATTAAAATTTAGCAAAAGCTTTTTTAGATGAACCAGTTCCTTTGGTGACTTTGATGACATTGAACCTGACAGTTTTGCTCAGAGGCCTACATTCACCGACAGTAACTATGTCGCCGATTTGTACATCCCTGATCGAAGAAAAAAAAGTAAAAATCTAGAGTAGATGAACACTAAATTTTATTGAATAGGCTACATGATCAACATTACATAAATTACACCACATTATAACTCAGAAAAGTTTCAAACCTGAAGCAAGGACTCAAATGGACAGAAAGATTTTTGTGACGTTTCTCAAAACGCTCATACTTGCTGACGTAATGCAGATAGTCTCTTCGGATGACAATAGTCCTTTGCATCTTCATCTTCAAGACGACACCTGTCAAGATTCTTCCTCTGATGAAAACATTACCAGTAAATGGACACTTCTTGTCAATGTAGTGGCCCTCTATGGCCTGTTGGAACATTAATTTTAATTCATCTCAGTGAAACAAAATCAATATTTTGTGTTTGCCTCAATTTTACTAAAATAAATAATATAAAACCCAATAAAAATGGTAATTAAATAACACTAATGTAATTTTTATTTATTCAATAATTTGCAATAAATATTTACTGAAGGGTTTTTATGTATTTAAATAAATGCCTTTCCAAAGCATGCTAATGCATCGCATATTTATTAAGCGAGTTTGCATATTTATAAAGCACATCTGAATCAAATGCGTGTAACAGGGCTAACAGTTATTCATTGTATTATTATTGTGAAAACTTATAAAAAAAATAATTAAAAAATATTTGAAAAAGAGAGATATTAAACAAGAGAGATATCAAAAATATATTAAAAAAAGATATTAAAAAAGAGACACTATCTGAAACGATCTAAAAAATTTTAGGCAACATCTGCGTGATATTCTTATAAATATTATCCTTCAAAATGGCAGATGTCTTTCCATTTGTAGTGGACACCACTTAAATATTTTAACAACCATGGTAAATGAGCCAGAAATTGCAATACAGTGGCTTGTTAGGTAGAAGTCAAACATGTATTTGGAACAAGAATATGCAGGTAGAAAAATATTTGATGTTAAAAGAAACAGCAGGTCTAAGTTATTTGAAAGACCAAAATGGTTAACTTTATTAAAATAGTCAAGGCTTGTGTTATTCTTAACTGTGAGAGATTACCTTCAAATTTCAAGATAATTCGCTTAAAAATTTATTTTGAACAAAAAATAGATAAAATTTCGATGATTTTAGAAAATCTATTTTTGGTCCAGCTAATAATAAGCTGGACTTGAAGGGCTAAATAGAACAAAATATGCATAATAAACTATAAACAACTGATACAAAAATTTTAAAAATAAAAGACCTCGCGAGGAGTTTTAAATCCAAGTCCGACATTTTTGTAGTACCTCTGCACTTTAGCGGCTTTGCCGGTTCCCTTCTTGTTGAGAAAAATCGTTGGTTGCTTTTGAAAAGCACGCTCAACCTGATATAGAACACGTTGACAAAATTTTTACGATAAGAGTATTAATTAATTTCAGAAACAAAATTTAATAATCTGAGTTCAAAAATTTACTCATTTAAAGTCAAATTGTACACGTTTTGGTGATAAAAATTTAAAATCGAACTGAAAACAAACCTGAAAATCAGCCATTGTGGGAGGAAAAAGAAAAAGGAATCAGGAATGTGTTGATGAAAAACAAAATGACCAAATAGTATAATATTTTGTAGCTCTTAATTTTCGTTCTGATACGATTTCCGCTAAGTTTTTATAATTCGATTTGTTTTTTACATTGGATTTTTGATTATATTTTTTTGCATTATGTACGGTACATATACAAATTGAAGTTATTTATATTTCATGCCGTAAATTTATTTTTTTTACCGTATTTTCATTATAGCGGTTAAGTCGGAGACTGGCCATGATTCAAAGATTTGTACGGGCTTTTAAAAACTTAACGACTGAAACTTTTGTTTTGTTTACAACGATTCGAAAACTCAGAGCAGATTTTTGATTATGCTAATTTAATAACGTTAGGCGTTGAATTAAACGTAGGATTTGAACTATAGTGAACCTGATCGCTGATATAGAAAACAATTTTGAAACGTGGATATATATATATATATATATATATATATATATCCATGCTTTGAAATGTCAGTACAGGAGATTAAAATACCGCAATGGTAAGCTAATTAACGAATATGTTAGATCGGAATTTAAAAATTAACGTGGGAACTTTAAAAATTATTTTACATTTTATAGGTAGCCGAGCCAAAATAAGAGAACATGATATGGAGATCAATGAGAAAAGACAGGGGCACGGGCAGCAAAGTTAAAAGCTTTTGTTAGTAGAATCAGTAAAAGCATAGTGTAGCCAGTTTCGAGAGTCCATTATTATAGATCTATTATTAACATTAAGAGAAAAAGAGTTTACAAAAATTAAAATTAGAAAAATGTCATTCGTTTAAACGCTGATATGTTGTTGTAAATCATACCGGATGTTAAAGTGTAACTATTTGGCAAAAAAACAAGTGGAAAATAAAGTAGAAAAATTTAGAAAAAAAAATTTTAGTAAGAAAGTCTGAAATCTTTATATCAAATTCATTATTTGTTTGTCATAAATTAATAATAAACGCCTTAAAATATAATTAATCCATCATTCGCCAATTAAAATTCATAACGTGAATATAATTCATATCAATGTAATTAATGTATAAGAACATTACATTTCCTCGATAATATCGGACCATCTGGTTGAAGGTGAACATCAACAAACAAAATGAATAAACAGCAAACGAACAAACAACTTGACACACGAACATACAACTGACATATGAACCATGAGGATATAAACAGACGACAAACATGAACGAACATACATATAACAGAAAAATAGACTAGTCAGTAAAGGTGTTTACAAATATAAATGATGAAATCGAATGACAGACTCAACAATAACAGAAAGCGGAAACAAACATACTCACGCACGCACGCACGCACACACACACGCACAAAAAGCAAACACTCACAAACACACACGCACACAAACTGAGATGAATTTAAATGCACGTAAGCAAATAAAATTACAACAACAATAATAACAACACCAATAGTAACAACAACAACAATTAATCATAGCAATAATAAAAGTAATAACCAGAGGAGTAGCCAAGAAAGCAAGTTCTACAGATGAACCCCAAGCCACAAAAAAATTATTTTTGTTCAAGGTTTAAAAAGACTACATAAATTGAGACTAAAACCCTTTTAGCACACACAAAACAGTAATATTTGGTTAGTTTCCACAACAAAAACACTGGTTTTAATAAAAAAAAAATAGCCAAAAATGTGGAATAAGCAACAAAAAAAGATCAAAAAAGGTGGCCGACTTTCAAGGGTTTTTCCCAAAATGTTTCTGGCTACACCGCTGATCGGTGATGATGATGATAACAATAACAAAAGACGATAATAATAATAATAATAGCAACAATAATGACAACAACGATAACTGAAAGTGAAAGTAGAAGAAATTTCTGAAGAAAAAAAAAACAGCGTCTTCTAAAAATCAGCATTATATAATAATTAAAAAGTGAAACAGAAAGTTATATGTACATACATGGATGATGAGTACGACCAAATGATGGCAGATGATGAAGGAGGTAATGACGTAGACGACGACTTAATGACGTAACGAATTGTAATAAATTATAAAGCGCTTCGCGAGTGGATAATAGTCGATTTTATTAATAAAGTGCAATATTAGCAATATTGAAAAGAATGTTAGAGTAATAGAAAAATTATGAACATTAATTTTTTTCATATAAATCTTTCTTTTACAAAAATGTATAAAAACGCTTCGTGTACCTAACATTTTTTAAAAATAATAAAAAATTGAAAAAAAAGTTAATCTCCGGGCAGAGGGTAGAGACATATCTGGAGAATTAATCTTAAAAAATTTTAAATCTCGATTAGTTATAAAGATAGAATTCATGTAAGATGCAAACAAATATGAATTATATGAATTATAAAATATAAAAAATTTTTAATTATGCGTCTACATTTCCATTACCATCAAACCGAACGACAGATCGCATCGTTATATCACCATAAAAGATACCGAAACAAAATAAAATTATATCCCTCGATTATTTTAGTATTATTCTATCACATGGCATATCGGAAATCTGACTATATTGTGGACTATATTGTCATTTGAAATGTAAACTGAAATGATTGTGCTTTGCCTGACGTAACGATTGTAATAAATTATATAGCGCACATTGCAATCAGTCTAAAAATTAATCTATCCTCTTGTCTACATGCGCCAAAATAATCTTTCATCCAATTACGAAATCCTTAGCTTTTAAAAACACGGCATTAGCGTGTTGACATGACAATGATGACCTTGACATGGCGATGATGACCTTGACATGACGATGATGACCTTGACATGGCGATGATGACCTTGACATGGCGATGATGACCTTGACATGGCGATGATGATGTTAGCTCTGTTGTTAAGAATGGGAAGATCATTGGTAGATAAGCTTCGCGATTCATAACTTGAATGTAGGTTGTAAATTAAAGCGAATTAGAATGAATATTTCACATACGAGACTAAATACGCATTAAAAGGTACAAACTCAAAAACCCAAAACAGAAAAATATTAAGTTAATTGGGAAATGGAAAACAAAATTATTTACAGTTCGACAGTATTGGACGTGGGTAATTAAAAAAAATTGACGCGGGTGAAAACAAGCAAGCAAAATAAAATCATTGAAATTAAACGAAGTAATTGAAAAGGAATACAAATGATGGAATGTGAAAATATAACAACGCGGGAACACGCCCAAAAAATGATGATGACCATGAAGTGATAATATGACCCCAGAATGATGACGACCGCCAAAACTAAAATGACCATAGAATGATGAGAATGACCACAGGATGATGAGAATGACCATAGAATGATTAGAATGACCACAGGATGATGAGAATGACCATAGAATGATGAAAATGACGAGAATGACCACAAAATTAAGACGCGGGTCACAAATTAAAATTTAAAATTTATATAAAAAAAAATTTATATAAAAAAAAGTATTCAACGGAGATGGATGAAATTTCGAAGAGTAAGAAACGACCTTTAACTATTGAGCGACCAATTTATGAAATAATAAAAATAAAAAAAAGGTGATTTGAACAAAACATACATGGAAACAACGAACAAAAAAGTGTATATATTGTTTTAAAAACACTTCGAAAGAGTATAATTCATTATAATAAACGCATGGATACAGTCTTGAACGATTGAATAAATACAAATATACCGAAATCAAGAGACAAATGACAGCAACGATCAAATCAATGAAACAACTTTATCATTCATCCATTCTTTTTCATTCATTCATTAATTCATTCATTCATCAATTCATTCATCCACTCATTCATCCATTCATTCATCCATTCACTCACTTACTGGAAAGAATTTTTCAGACAATCATGAAAATTAACAGTTGCCGATTCACAATAGTGGTAAGAAATTAAATCGATCAGTAAATTCTTAAAACATGGCGCCAATATTTAAACTCATAAATTTTAAAATGAAATTCATTCAAAAAGCGTAGTATGCAATTTAGTGTGGATGAATTACCACAACGTAATGAGAATAAAATGAACTCAATGGAATAGCGACCGTCTCCACGAGACATGAGACACGAACAAGCGACCCCGAGACACGAACAAGCGACCCCGAGACACGAACAAGCGACCCCGAGACATGAGACACGAACAAGCGACCCCGAGACACGAACAAGCGACCCCGAGACATGAGACATGAACAAGCGACCCCGAGACACGAAACATGAACAAGCGACCACGAGACATGAGACACGAACAAGCGACCACGAGACATGAAATGTAAAAAATGTAATGATCTACTGGCAGCCTAACAAAGATATCTAAACGTTTTTAATAAATGGTAGAGCATTAATTAATATTTGCGATGGAGTTTAGGCAAGCTCATGACGAGAGTGTAGCAAAGTTACCATCGTGTATACGGCCCAAAAACCTGAGAGAATTCAAATTTGGCGCTCCTATCTAAGAGTTCTGAATTAATTGTTAGGAATTTCATATCTACGGTTGGATAGAGGCAGAAAGAATTTGATGATTCATGTTGAAAATTAAATTATTTACTTTTATACGAATTTAAAAACGAATCTTGAGCCTTGAAGTTCGAGCAACGTAGCCGCCAACGTATAAGTACTTTTAAAAAGCTGCAGACTGCAGAATTGAGATACAAAACATGGAAACATCTGATAGTTTGCAGGGAGTGCAGTGATGAAGATCAAACAAACATTCCCTTCTCATGGAAATGGGCAACTTAATGAGATAATAATATTTTGCATACATCAAAATACTTTCCATGTCACAGCTAATTTTGTAGCAAAACAAGCTGATGATAAAAAAAATGAACGAAGAACATATGTAGAGCTGGTAAGGGAGCGAAAAAGATTCACAATAGAACTGGACATTACATAAAAGAACAACATCAACTACGAACCGGACAAGTAACTACACATCAGATATGTTGAAAATCAAGCTGTACATTACAACACGATAATTTAACAGTACATCAATGTTAATTACAAAACTCTGCGAAAAACATCTGTACACGAACAAATATGAAATTGACATTTTAATTAGTAACAACAAATCAACAAAAACTATAAACTGTCCTCTTATAAACTCAGTATACACTCGACCAATTCATGGTTCGTTTTGAATTAAATAGAACATATCCAATATCAATCATTCAATAACCCAAAACATGCACCCATCCAAATGCAAAACTCATTCGCTACACTTGGTTACAAAACTCCAATTCATTACACCAGTTAATATGGCTTATCAAATCAGCACCGCACACACACACACACACACACACACACACACACACACACACACACACACACACACACACACACGCACGCAGGCATATAAAAAAACATACTCACACACTCACTTGCCATTCAATTAGCAGAGCATTACAGCGTACAGAAAATAAAATGCATCTATTAGTCAGTCAGTACATTCAGTTCACTCGCACCAATCACTCAGTACCCCAAGTTCACGTGCTCCCAGTACTCAGTATACCCAACTAACGGGAACCCACTGGGGAGTTATGAAGACTTCTTCAATGGATTGTTGCAGCGTTTGTATGGTATCCTCAATATCGTTGTTGACAATTTTCAAGTCGAAGTAGTGACCGTAAGCGGCTTGCAGTGCGTCGCTTTCTCTCACCAGACGTTCCAAACTGCTGTCCTGAGGTTGTTTCATTAACGTGGATGGTTTCTATTGCCGTATTATCATACTTTATTTAGTGCTATTACATAAATTAATGTCGTACATTTTTAATTTTGGTTTAACACCATCACCCACGTTGTTCAATCAACCAAGCAGCCAACCAGTCAGTCAGCCATCCAGCCAGTCACACAACTTCACTAACTTCGACGTAGTTTGTGACCTTAGGAGCGGCTATGAAGACAACGTACGGCGCGTACTCGGCTGTTCTCAACACCTTCAAAGCCTTCAATTCAAATGTGTGAATAAATATAAATAATATATATATATATATATATATATATATATATATATATATATATATATATATATATCAACAAAATCGACCAAACATGCGGCAAACTAATAGGTAACAACCAACGGCTTAGTTTAATTTAAGACACATATCCACACATGATACGAAGCTTTGAGATGATAAGAACATAAAATTAGTAGACATGCAAGCAAATACAGAAATCAGATTAAACATTGCGATAACCAAATGAATAATAGTTATAAATAAAATAATAATGATAATAAGCACGTTCGCGTAGAGAGAAATTTTAAAAATTAACGAAACAGCAACAACATTAGTGTTAGCAGGCAGTTAAGGAGTCGCAAACTAAGAAGAAGTAATTAAAAATATGAACAACAACAACAACAACAACAATAATAAAATATAAAACTATAATAAAAGAATCAGTGGAGACAAAAAGCGTAATGAAAGGCAAATGGCTGGAAGGTGTCTGAAGATGATGACTTTTAAGAGAATCAATTAGAGAAGATTGAATAAACAACGTACGCAGGGGAAGCAAGCAAAAGTGATATAGGCATCTAAGGAAAGGGTGTGATTGGATGTGGAAAGCAAGATAGTTTAAATCCAAGGATGTGATTGGGTGTGGAGAGTAAGATATTTTGAACCAAGGGATGTGATTGGATGTGGAGAGTAAAATAGTTAATATAAAAAGATGAGATTGGATGTGGAGAGTTAAATAGTTTGAACCAAAGGATGTGACTAGATGTGAACAGTGATATAGTTTAAACTGAACTAGTTTGAACTCAAAGGGTAAAAGTTGAAGCAGAAGTTTGTGGCGACATTAAATGTGGCAAGATAAGCGGACGATCAAGAATGAATGAAACTTAATTCAGGAATGCTTTAGCTTTAGCATCTATATTGAAAAATAACAAGATAAACAAAAATAAATGAAAAATTATCAAAATAAAAAAATAAACAAAAAACGAACCAGTCAATATTAGATTTGATATAGATGATGGAATTTGTAAAAAAAATAAGGACATATTTGCCACCAAGTAGCGGTAAAGTAATGGGCCATAATACGAGTTTCCTGTGTCGAATGTGGACCAGGACAATGTTTTGAACAACTTGTTCTCAGTTCAACATACACTCGAATGTTAATGCTTAAATAAACATTAGCTAATTAGGATACAACTTATATTGACAATAAGAAAAGAAAGAAATGCAAGAGGACATAAAACAAAACCGAAGAAAACTGTAATCTCTGCACGAGGAACATTAATCACTAATGGAGACTTCTGAGAAATGTCACGCAAGCGTATGACATGTCAGCTGTGCAAACATCTGACGTTCAGACATCAGCGCAACAACACGCAACTCAATAAATTATCAGGCCGACTAATAAACAACCGACCGAAAGCTACAACAACAACGAAAATAAAAAAAACAACAATAACAACAACATCACCACCAACAACAACAATGAAATGGGGAAAAAACTAACGATAAATAATACAAACACCAATAACAAAACCAACAACTGAACAACAACAACATCAACAAATCCATAAAAAGCCCCAACCGGAAAATCCGCGTCAGCGCCACCACAACCAACAAACAAAGGATAATTGATTGATTGCAACCAGACGCAGGTAGTTTGGCAAGTTATGCTGTAAAATATTCTATTTTTAAAAGGCAACAGAACACCATTAGCAGTACAATCACCACGCACTCTGAGGATGGTGACCAAGAGAATAAGGATGAGGAGGATGTAAGATGAGTAGAAAGTTACAGGTGTTAACAGTGCTGATGACGACCGCGATGCCTATGTAGCGTCAGAAAAATAACGATGTGATAAGATAGTGATGACGACGATGATAATCGGACAAGAACCAGGCTTAGATTGATGATCAGGTGCAGTAGATGGCGTAAAACGACATGACACTCCCATGATATCCTATCACATCGCTGTATCATAAGGTCACATCATCATATCATATATTCCTTCAATCTAAATGTTCACGCTTGCAATACATCAACATCACATAACGTGATAATGAATCTGAGTAATAAACATCGTCTTCGTCATTGTCATCAGATAACAGAACATTAAAGACACACCACACAACACAAAACCACATCCCACCACACAGGACCACACTACACCACACCACACGACGCTGGCTGCCAACACACGACAATTTTTATAACAAACAATTGAGATGAAAGGAGAATTACTGGACCATAAAAAAAACTTGAAAACGATGCCAAACGAAGAATAAAAAAGTATTAAAACGCGGTAACAACAAAACGTTCGTTGTCATGTATGTTGTCATGATGATGTGATGTTGTATGATGATGACGAGATGGGATGGTGACCAGGCGATGATGTCATATCACACACACACACCACCACCCACACACACAGAGAGAGAGAGAGAGAGAGAGAGAGAGAGAGAGAGAGAGAGAGAGTGAGAAAGAAAAAGAGAAAAAGAGCACACACAGAAAGAGAGAGAGAGAAAGAAAGAGATAAAGAGAGAAAAAGAGGAAGAGGAGTGTCTGCAAAACAGAATCAGGCGCCTTTAACCAACTAAACTATTTCCCGGAAATGATATGAAATGATAATGGCGCTCGAAGTGATGAAGTGATGGTGATATGACTCACATGTGACGACCATATGATACTGCAGTGTGTGATAATAGCAGGATGTAATGTAATGATGTTATGATGTCCAGTCGGTGAGGATGTAATGACGTCATGTGATGAGATGACGACATAATGTCATCACATTAAAATATTATAACATCAAAAAATCTCGGCGAAAAATATTGATGTAATTAATCGATAGAATATTTAATGTAATTAATGAATGATGCTAGCATGCTTCTGTAAAGTATTCACTTGTTTGTAACACCGCCAACAGACGCTCAGCCAATCAGCGAAATTGTTCTTTTTTTCACAAACCAACGTAAAATGTATCAACGTAAGCTTCTCTTGAATGACTCGCGCGAAGTTAAAGTAAAATTCAGATATATCTAAAATAATTTAAATGAAACCATTCGGCATGAAGATAAGACGGGTGTACAACAAACATATGTGTACCGTACGTACATACATAGGTGTGTGCACATCAAGTGAATACTTCACAGGCTCATTTCAAACTAACATTAGCAGTTTAATAAATCAAAAATAGAATATTCATCTACATGTGATATATAATTAAAAAGTAGATAGCTACTAATAAAATGTTAACTTGCTGAATACCACAACACTACTACCTCACTCTTTAAATAATGATTTTTAATGTTTGTTTATTCATTGAGTTATAAGTTTATATGGTTTTTGATCGGTTACATTAAACTCACGTCTTTCTCCGTTCCAAGTAACTTGTGAAATTATTAACAAATTAATGAGAATTTAAAAATTGTTTAATTATCCAATTATCCAATTTAATAGTTTATTAACTGGAAAGAGTTGAACTTGAGCGCATATTTTATAAAAATTTTTACACAGACAGTGAATACTTTACAGGTTTCTCGAATCTCAACGTCAGTAATTTGGTGTAATGGTTGTAAAATTTATCGTGTAGTAAGTATAACATACAGCATGTATAAGATCGTTGATCAGTTACATAAAAAGTAAATAAGCAATCTCACAACCGGCAAAAAATTAACAAAAAACAAGTAAGAAATAACATTAAAAGTAATAATAGATTCGAAATAATTTATCCAGCATCATGGCGAAATGTTGGAACTAATTTGTCGGCCCTATAATGATAAAGCCATTTTAGCGGAACACCACATTTCGATCAAATTACTCGATTAGATCATCTCAACAATGACTAAACCGATTAAAAAACACACCAGACATAAACATTTTTCACCTATAAAGACAACTAATAGCGAATTCTAGCTTTCCAACGATCATCAAAATTGTAGAAGTAAAGTTAGCCGAGTTATGCCTGCCATTGAACCGGGTCATCACGTAACGACGCCTGTCTCCGAAATTCGAAACAAAAACGAGAGTCCAGTTCTTCTTTTCCTCAGAGTATTCATTGAATCGACAGCTCATAAAATGTGGAATATTTTTCATTCCAATCATGTACACGAATGAATGAATGAATGAAACTAAAGTCACAAACAACTTCGATGTACTCCAATCGTTGCCTCATTGCATTCTCGGAGAAACTTCCACGAGAAACGCGAATGTGGATGCTGTGATGTCAGTCAGTATGTAATTCTAATAATTCTGTGTCTTTTATACTTTTAGATTTTCTTATGACGGTTCTACTTAAAAGAAAAAAGGTCCTTCCAGCACTATCCTTCCTGCAACTCATTCATTCACTCATTCATTCACTCATTCATTCACTCATTCATTCACTCATTCATTCATTCATTCATTCATTCATTCATCCATCCATTCATCTGCAATGAGGTAAAAAAGTGGGATTGTGACGGATTGAACGAAAAATATGCCAAAAGAGGGAGTTAAAAATAGAAACTGTAACTATTATACGACGCGTGCTGATGGATGGGTAGGTCAAGCGGCCAAACATACGCCTCTACTTACATATTCCCAATCATAGCACAGCTCCATTACTATCATACATCGGAGGGTCAGTTCAATTTGCATTGCGTGTATTGAAAGAACATAATTTAGCGACTATAACGACTGAACGTTAATAACCGAGCGATAATTTGCAAGCGAAACCACAAAAACTACAAAAAACAAAAATAGACATGTCCTTATGAGAGAAAAAAACAAAAATTGAGACAACACAATCAACAGTTCACTCATCTATCCATTTGCATACAAATTAACCACTAATTCAGACTACAATAGAAACATTCATTCATCTTCAAACAAAACAATCATTCATCTAATCTTTCATTCATCCATCTATTCATTCCTCCATCCATCCATCCATCCATCCATACATCCATTCATTCATTCATTCATTCATTCATTCATTCATTCATTCATTCATTCATTCATTCATTCATTCATTCATCCATCCATCCATCCATTCATCTATCAGCGATTGATGGACCGACTGACTGACTGACCTGCGGTTCGACATCTAGGATTGCCAGGAGGCCGCTGCCGTGTATCTGCCTGATGGTCTCCAGCTTGGTACCGTACATGGCATCTTCGTGAGTGCCGTACTCCAGATACTCGTTGGCCGCTATGTCCGCCATCATCTGTTCGTGCGTCACGAAGAAGTAGTTCCTGCCGTGCTCCTCGTCTTTCTTTGGCGTCCGAGTCGTGTCTGTCGTGATGTGAGTGAGTGAGTGAGTGAGTGAGTGAGTGAGTTTCTGCCATGATGTGAGTGAGTGTATGTGATAGTGACGTGAGTGACGTCATTAATTACGAAAGCAAACATGACGTGTGGCTGAAAAAAAAATAATTTTTTACAATTTGACATTTGACAGAATGAATCAATATCTTAAAATCATGAACAGTCAAAATTTGGAATGGATGGAAGTACGAACGAGGTATCGGGTAGGCGTATCGTTTCGGGTAGTTGGATATGAGGGTATTTTTGATGTGTCGTCTGCCAACACCGTGCGCACCTTCAGATTTTTTCAAAAAATAAATTCTTATAATTTGAAAAAAATATCATGTTAGAAAGATAAAGTTAAAATAAAAATACCGAACGCGACGAAACAAAAAGAAGCAATAAACAAAATTGATGGACTGCCATGTTGTATCCTTCGATCTCAATCAACAACCACTATCAAACTTCAACAACAATATTCAACAACAACAACAGAACATTCAACGACAACAACGCCTAACGACAACACACAACACAGACACGCACAGATACCCACCAAGTAGCACTATAGTTTTTCTTTGGAATGAAGGCAATCTGACCACTTCTTCATAGGTGACCAAGTCCAGCTGATCGAAGACAGCATTGTGCTTGGCCAGGTACTTGTCCTTGTATGCTCGCTTCTTCCGACTGAACCAGGAACAGTTGGCTGGCGAACGAAACAAGAATGGATGACTTTAACTATTTGAATTTTTTTACAACAAATTTGACCACAATAACAATGTTATGATGTTTACGTAAAAACAGCTTAAAAACTTATTATAAGCATAACCATTTTTACGAGAAATTGTTAGCCAACCAACCTCCTACCCTGTTTACAAATAAAACTACATTAATCGTGCATACATAGTTCATTAACGAATCAATTCTTCTAAACACCAGACTTCACCAAATACCAACTCAACGGCATATACACAGAAACACACAGAGTGATACAGAAACAAACACCATTACACCTGACTGATCCCTCTTGGCTTTATCAATGGCAGCACAGGCAGTCCTCCACTCCTGAAGTTCCGGGGAGGGAATGAGACCAGCGGGTTCAGAGGGATGTGAGCCCCACAGCCGGGCCTGCCACCAATTGTGGTCGTCTTTGCTGATCACCTGAAAGAACATGGAAACAAGAAAATATATTCTTACAGAAACAAATTATTTGTGATTAGCGTATGTTAAATGTTTAGCTATAATATCCAAATAGCTAGTCATTCGACTACTACGCTAAAAATTATTTGTGATTAGCGTATGTTAAATGTTTAGCTATAATATCCAAACAGCTAGTTATTCGACTACTACGCTAAACATGTCATCAGCAAAAAATGGCAACCAGTTAGCCAGCCAACCTGCAAGATGTCGCCGATTTTGAAATGGATTCCAGCTTGCGGACAGGGAATTAAATCGTCTTCTTCGGGAATGTAATCGAATAATGCCCTCACAAACATCTAATTTAGAAAAAATTGTGAGTGGCGTTAAATACTATTATCGGACATTTTGTATAATCGTACACCAACAAACCGCCACATGAATCCACAATAATCAATAGATATATCTACTAATCAACCAACTGACCACCAACCAAGTGACAAACCGCAACTGACCAACTAACCGAGTGACCACCGAACCATCCGACCAACTAACTAACCACCTCGCACAATATTGTTGGATGGCGATAGCTAGGAACGATCTTCAACGTTATGCTCCCTCTGGCGTTTTTCTGGCAATACGTCGATGGAAATGTTTTAATTTAAAAAAAAAAATTTCTTGCGTACAATAGAAAAAAAATAGTGTTTATAATTTATTTTTGACTGTTGGTACTGTGATACTGACGTCCAAGTGCTTAAATGGAGGTTGTCATGTGTGAGGAACGGAACAACAGACTATTAGACCATTAGACGGCCATTAGACGACCATTAGACCAACATGTTATCGCCAATCAACGAACAATACCAACACACGTACACAAACAGAAAGAAAAAAAATAGAAACAGAGACAATGAGTTGTCCAACAAGACCTACCAGCATCCTCTGCAGCGTCTCAACCGTCTGTCCCATGACTGATATCCCATTTATCTCCCTGATCTCATCGCCAACATGGAGAGTGCCTGCAATGCAACAACATCCATGACAGTTTCATGTGAATACTGTGGAAATTTTCCCAACAAATAATAATAAGAGAGAGAATAGTTGACGAGTTAGTTCAGGCAGTAGGATGCATAATCTGACTTGAATGCTGTCTGCTAATATTTCGGCGTGTAATGAATGTACTGTTACGTGTGGATACTAAAGAAGTGAAAGTCTAAGTCTTTTAATACTTATTGTTGCTTTTCAGTTTAATTTCAAGTCTTTTAAAGTTTTTAGAATTTTAAATTCATATACCGTAAACTTTTTAGTTTGAGAAAACCTAAAAATATAAAAGTTAAATATTTTGAATTGAAGTTTTCAAGAAACCCAAGTTTTTCTGCGATTGGTTTTAGTTTAAACTTCTGCAACAAAAAATCCTCTTAAAAATAAACTAAACAAAGCGGGGATTTTTGAAAAAAGCATTTGTCAGAGATGTATAACGAAAAATATACACAAAAATAAATAAAAAAGTTTATGATAGATGATTCAACAAGAAAAAAATAAAAAAAAAATGTAAAAAAAATAATAAAAAATAAAAGTTTCCAACAGTGAATGTCACCTTGCTTGTGGATCATGCCTCCGTGCATGATTCGTGCCACCAGACAGCAACCATCGTCGTTCACTTTCAGCGTTATGCCCTGTTGTCGTGGCCAACGTGATGAGGATTGTGATGAGGATTGTGATGAGGATTGTGATGAGGATTGTGATGAGGATTGTGATGAGGATTGTGATGAGGATTGTGATGAGGATTGTGATGAGGATTGTGTGCATGCCATGCAGCGATGTCAACGCCACCATCGTTCAAAAAATAAAACCGACCAAACAGACTGCTGAGCAACAAACATGAAACACTCATCCGTCTTGCCGACCATTCAGACATCCTATCTACCAGCAATCCATCCATCTATTCATCCTGCTTGCCACGCTATCCATTTATCCATTCATACATTTAACCAGCCATCGAACCCACAATCCATCCAACCATCTAACGAGTCAACCATCTGATAAGTCGATCAAAAAAAAAACGAACAAGATGCAACTAACTGAAACAAATATTCAACCAACCATGGGCTCATCAGTGTTTTTTTGAAATTGAACCAGTCTGACTCGCATGACATTTTCGAGATCATTATCGAGATCGTTGGCTTCAAAGTCAAGGTCGTTGTTGAGATAAGGAGTGATGGGGGGAGGTGTGGCCCTGGCTGCCTCGTCGCCGTATATTTCTGTGGCGGCCACATCGTGTGCCAGCAACATGTTCTGCGGTGGATCGTTGTGCGAGATGGGTGCACGCAAAATCACAACCAGCCATTAATTTTGTCATTCGAAATATCCAACAATAAATTATTTAAATCATTCAAAGGATAAATTTAAAACCATACAAATCTGTATCATGATTGAAGCAATTGTATCTGCAAGCTTATATCATAATTAAAGCAATTGTATCTGTAAACTGAACGTAAGAAATGTAAGAAGAACAGTGAAAAGATAAAGATACCATGAAGAACGGATGGATGAGTATCTGGCAGAGTTCGTAGGACTCTCTCACCAAGTACTGCGGACTGCTTTGTAGGGCCTCCAGCACCTTCCCATCCAACGAACAAGTCGTGATTTGTTAGATAAAAAAATTACTTCACAAGAACATAAATGAAGAAAACATATTTCGGAATCAGCAAAATGTTAACATTTTACATTCGTTGGATTACTGCTAGAACATCACGTCATAAAGGGCAGACGACAATATCGAAGGCTCGAACGATAGAAATAAATCTCAACTGTGCATTGTTGGACTGGCATTTGTCAAATTTTAAAACAACCCCGCTTAAAAAGTACAATGAATCTGAATAAATTTAAACGATTGAATGAATGAATGAATAAATGAAACTGTTTGGCGGTGACGTTGTATTTTATATCATTATTTATCATCATCATCAACATCCTTATTATTATCATCATCATCATTATTGTTATTATTATTAATATTATTATATCGTCATCATCATCACCGTCCTCCTCATCATCATCAGCGCCCACCACACGGATCCTAACATCTTTCAACTTTGGAATGGCCACATCGGCTGGAGTTGGTCTGCACGATGATAATGATCTGCTACTGATCTCATCGTATAACTGGGGACGATGACGTAACGATGATGATGATGATGACGTGATGATGAAGAAGATGGTTAGTGATAAAGTAAAGATGATGATAGTAACAGCGATGATGATGATTAATCATAAATTAAATTAATCATAAATTAATCATAAATTAAATTAAACTAACTAATTAATTAATCATAAAATGTAACAAAAACAAGAAACCAAAAAAAAAATGCAAAGGAAAATCTTATACCATATGAACGACAATTGTTACAGGTAAGGCGAGTCATTCCTCTACTCAGTTAAATAAATTTAAAACGCAAACAAATCTAAATTTAACAAACTCTAACAAACAAAAAAAAAATTAAATTAAAAGTACGAAAAAATAATCATTAAAAAATTTTCAAAACTACTAACGGTTAGTAAGGCTTTTAGTTGATGGTCTTCGAAAATACCTGAACATTTATTTATGTAGAAACATATCAATAATTTTAGATTTACATTCGCTGCAATGTAGGAAAAAAAACGCCTTTATGTATCGAGCAGGAGAGAGCAGATAAATTACTACCATAAGTAGGTACTTACAGCAAATTTCAAACTTTTAGAAATAAATCACTTCAATGAGTATTTGTTAAATTAAGAGTAAGACTAAGGACTTAACAATCCATTGAAAAAATTGGAGAAAAAAAAACAACAAATAACACAAAAATGTCAGTTTAATTTGAAAAAAGCACACACACGCACGCACTCACAGAGACACACACACACAGATGCATACACACATAGCCCACACACCTAGCCAACAAACACATCTGGCCACTATCTTACATAATAAATTAACCAATGACGTTAATTTGAAAAATGGCTTAGTTCCACTTAATATGAAAGACGTAAGGTCGCATATATTGCTCCGATTATCTTGAACTACTTTGTTTAACTAATCAGATGATCTATCGAGTATTTGTATACTGTACTGTATAATTACAATAGGCCAACACGTTGAAAAATCACTTAAGTTTAGTAGAAATACTGAAATAGAAAGCTCTGTTGTGTCTGTCATACACGAAAGAATGTTTAGGATAAGAGCGATCATAACAAACACAAACATCTACAACGTTTTTCAAAAATTTACAAACGCTGCAACCGGTTTTTCTCAATCTTTTTTTTAAGACTATATCTTCGTTTTGTATTTCTTAGTATGTGTTAGCACGTACGTACGTACGTATATATACATTAATTCGCACATTCCAGTGCTTCTCTACCCGTGTATTTGTATAATGACAATCGCAGACTATCCAGACATCTCATACATTAGACCATTCATTTATTTTGTTATCTTACCGTTGTAGATAGTGCTTTTGAGAAGTGCTTTATGTTTTTTTTAAAGCGCTTTATAAATTTTTGATTACAAATAAAATAAATACATGGCGTGTGGTTGGTGGGGCTCTCTTTGCATTTGAATCGACTCAGAGCACAGCAACGGCCGGATTATTTCTATCTTAGCAGACGTTAACAAAATTTGGGACTGGATCGGGATCGAATTAGGGCTGTTAACGTCAAAAATCATTTTAGACCGAACAGCTATTGATCAAATTATCACATCGCTGGCCTATGTTCTTCAATATAAATTCTTTTTATATAAACTTGTAAAAAATTGAGAAGTTTTAATATGGAAATGAAATTTATACTTCCCTCTTCTCATTTTGTGAAGCGCTTTTTCATCAACCGAATCATTAATTACAATTATCAACAATACATTCACGTGTCAAAAATTAATTAATTAATTAATTAATTAACCAATTAAATTAATTAAATAAATAAATAATTCAATTAATTAATCAATTAATTAATAACCTTGCAGTGACGACAAATCAGGTTCATTGAGGTTCATGAGACACTGGATTTCCTCCAAACTATTCACTATCTGACTGACAGCTTCGCAGTTGTAAAATAAAAAAAATTAACATGGGTATTTATCTGACATCTGACTTTGAGTGTGTGTGTGGTGTGTGTGTTCGTGAATACGTTGAACGTAAAAATGTCAGAACAACACGAACCACATCACATACTCATCAGAAATACAAATCAATCATACATTGCACAGCAGACAGCACACAAATACATTTCAATCCACTTAATGTTGCAACCTGAAGTGACGACCCATTCGTCTTGGGGGTCGTGGAATGTTGATGGGTGCACCGGCACATTTAAGGTCGCCTGCCATTTCGAACTGGACAACACCGACAGAATTATTTTCTGGTATATGATGTTTTGTATTGTATTGCAAATTTGTAGAGGGCCTAAGTTATCTTCAGAGGCATGTTTGATGATGGTTGTAGTACGCTTAACAGCGCGTAAATTGTTTCATTTCAATGCAGACATATCTCACCAGAACACATTGTTGGATCAATTTGACACCAAAAAAATATATAAATAAAGAGTAGAGTAGAATTTGTACTAAAGAAATCAAAATATAGTCAGTATAGTAATGTTTATTTACAAGAATGCCTCGGATGATTACATATCGTTATTTGATACGAATACGCGAAAGTAATATTAACAAATGGTTTAAATGTTTCACGTTAACATTGGTGCTTGGGCAAACCAAAAGGATAAGATGAACAGCAACAAACACATCAGCGATTGGTTGGAAGAAATAAAATTAAAATTTCTGGCCATATAATTGACTGCCTACCTAGTAAAAAAAAAACTCAAATTGAATTTGACATTCATTTATGAAAGTTTATGCCAAATTTTTGAAAGCTTCTAGAGAGTTATGAGCAGCAGGCTGTTACTAATAACATATGATGAATGGCTGGTAGTGAGCTGACAAGACCAAAAATTGCATAAACGTACAATGCTTGATGAACTTTCAAACCTCCTTATTACAAACAATCACTCACTGACATTAAGATTAAATGTCAATTTCTCAATATATCATAATACAAAATTATAATGCCTATATTACATTATGGTATTTTATAATAATTATTACTTATTAATATTAAATTGTGATATTATTATTTAATATTATATTAAATGTTTATTTTCAGTAAGTGATTTCAATTGAAGCAAAAAAAAAATATATACAGATAAAAAGCTCTAGATAGGAATGAACTGGATATAAGAAAACAGGGAAAATGTTGTTCTACTACTAAAAAATAAAAAAAAAACTCAAATAGTTAACGGAGTATAAAGAGAAGGGTCGGAAATTTTAAACTTATAAAGAAAAACTAAAATTTATGACAAGCGTTGTAGTTGAATTCTAAAAATTAAATTTACACACACACACACACACACACACACACACACACACACACACACACACACACACACACACACACACACACACACACACACAGTGATACGTTTATGATGTATCGGCAACAAATAAACTTTCCAAAAAAAAAACAATTAAATAAACCAAGTATAAAGATATGTAACGTAACTAATGTTTTCTTATTCGACAAATTTTTTTAATTTTTTCTTCGTTTTTTTTGATTTTCGATAACTTTATCATATTTTTGTTATACTAATTTCGCTATATTTTTCGCCTCTTATCATCAAAAAACAACGGATTATTGCGTATTTCTAGCAGTAATAAAAGTAATGCCAGTAAATTTATTATTATTCATCCTCACAAATAAAGCAAAAATAACACACATCACCTACCTACCTAAAATACGAACTCAACTCATAAAACACTGTATCCAGCATAATATTGGATGGAAATAATAGATACAGATTGATACATATCCGTTATATATATATATATATATATATATATATATATATATATATATATATGTGTGTGTGTGTGTGTGTGTGTGTGTGTGTGTGTGTGTGTGTGTGTGTGTGTGTGTGTGTGTGTGTGTGTGTGTGTGTGTGTGTGTATCAACTATTAGCAATTACAATCGTTGTTAGTACGATTTTATGGAATTGTTGTTGCTTATGGATGGATATAAGACAAATTTTCTCCCCATCCACACCTCGGAATGTCTTTTATTTCAGAGAAACGCCAACATTAATTTCTTTTATTTTTCACACAAAAAAAATTAATAAAAATAATAACTATAAATAATAATGACAATAACATTAAGAGTAAAAGTAGTAACAATAATAACCATGGTTACATCGACCGCAACATCAATAGCGAAGATGACAGCAACAACGGTTATAACATCTACAACGTAGCTAGCAACAACAACATTAACTTAACGGCTATGATAAAACTCCAGTAGAATAAGAAAGCTATAAAAAGGGTTAGGAAGCATTGAAACAAATCAACAGAGCAGTAACGATTGATAACAATTATGGATAACACATGGTCACACGCATACATACACACACGCACACACACACACACACACACACACACACACACACACACACACACATATATATATATACACACACAGGCGCATGCACAAACCACACACTCACACGCACACAAACACACGCACACAAACACACACACATGTGTATATAGCACATTACAAAATAAATAAAAATACCCAATACAAATATTATGAAAATAAAAATTTAAAGACGGAAATACTCTTCTTAGTGGTAAGAGCATGTTTTAGAGAATGTGAAACTAATAACAGATAACGTGAGAGGCAGAAAAAAGATGACGATGATGAGGATGGCGATAATGAAAATGATACTGATTAAGCTGAGCAACAGATTACCAATCAATCAATAAAATGTATTTATCTTATGCATAGCTCTTAGAGTAGATGAGTGATGTAGCAAAACTAAAATAAAAATATTAACAGAAGCCACAAATAACCAGACGAAAAAAAACCAACAAGCTAACACATCAATCAATCAGCAAACCAGCCAACAAACCAACCAGCCAGCCAACTAACAATCAACCAAGCAGCCAACCAGCCGACAGACCAACCAACTAGCCAAACAGCCAGCCAACCAACCAACCAACCAGCCAGCCAGCCAGCCAACCAACCAACCTTCAACTTTCTCATGGTGTTGAATTTATGAAGTTCTTCGACAGTTTCCAGTAAGTGGATCTTGGATGGTCTGCCACGCTCCTGGTGGGCATCATAGTGACCGTTGTTGTGATGATGATGATGTTAATTGTTGAGATGTTGATGATGATGATCCATGAAAAAATGATGACGATGATGGTGAATGGTGAGGGTCATTGTGATAATGGTTATAATCTTTTTGATGATGACGATGATGATGACCATTGAGGTGATGATGAAGATGATGACGATGATGACCACTGTGGTGGTGAAGATGAGCAAGTCGAAAAAAAATACTTTTCACAAGCCTTATGTTTGAAACGTAGAATAAGACAAACCCAACAGAAATATACTACACCACCACCAACAACAACAACAGCAGCAGCAACAACAGACAACTTCAACAACACAAACGAACCCTGATCCAGGGATGTCTGAGAACCTCATCGATGGTGATGCGATGTTCTTGGTCCAGTTCCAGCATTCGGTGTATGAGGTCCTTGGCATCGTCACTTATGTACGTCCATTGCCTACCTCGCATCTATCGTACGGTGTTTGTTTTTTAATGGAAGGTCAGTTTTACGATGGTAAGTAATTTATTTTTTTTAATGAAATAATTTCACGATTGTAGGTCAGCTAGAGTAGTGGCCTGGTGAAATGTTTTGAAATTTTAAATAATTTTGAAATAATTTTATAATGCCAGGACAGGTTAGATGGGGTAGTTGTTCAGTGATATATTTTGAAACGTTGGAACTCTAAAAATGCGCGCCTGTCAAAATGAAGTAATCCGCGAAAAACGTTTCCAACTTGGGATTCAAATTTAGAAACATCACCGCCGATCACAGGCACAAACTTACGATGCGTTCGCATTGCATGTAAACGAGAACGCTGTGAGAATGGTAGAGAGTGCATGTTCCCTCTATGAACAGTTCTACCAATAATGAGATGTATCCAAATCTATCATGATATCCTCCGGAAGATACCACAGGATATCATGATAGAAAGCATTGAATGCAACGGACGATATTAAGATATGAACACAATGGAAATTATATCCCGATATGTTAGAATAGCGTAAGCGAGTAAAGCGCATCGACATTATTGTAGTAGTGATTAACTTTTAGTGTGTATATGATTTTTATAAAACTTTCTTTTTCTTGTTGTTGTAATTATTAACGTTAAATGTACGTTTAATAAAATTATAAATCTTGTTACATCGTCGTTATCATGAACTCTGTTACTTCAACAGGTTATGGGCCCAGTGATGCCATACAAGGAAAATGGAATAGATTGTTTTTCGATGGCGACGAACGAAAATATGAACAGTGGGAGGTAAAGTTTCTCGGATACATGCGACTCCGAAAATTGAAAGAAACTATTTTGCCGACTGACGGAAAAGAGCCAAATGCAGCGAAAAATGAAGAAGCATTTACGGAATTCAATTTTTGGATGATAAAAGTTTAGCACTAATTATGCACGACGCTGTAGACGATGGTCGCAAAGCACTTGAAATACTCCGTAAACATTACGCAGGTAATGGAAAGCCTCGTATTATTTCATTGTATACTGAACTGACGTCTCTTCGTAAATTAACGTCTGAATCTATTACAGATTATGTCATTAAAGCTGAAAAATCAGCAACTGCTCTTCGTAATGCTGGAGAGGAAATAAGTGATAGTCTACTTATAGCAATGGTTTTAAAGGGGTTACCTGTAGAGTATAAACCCTTAGTAGTGGTTATCACTCAGAGTGATAAAGAAATGACGTTTATGGAATTTAAAGTTGCACTGAGAAGTTTTGGTGATACAGAAAAATTTCACTCAACAGATGAGGAATCAGTTATGATGAAAAATGTTAACAAACAAATGCATGTTCACAAAAATTTTGCTAACATCACATGTTTTGGTTGTGGAAAATCAGGTCATAAATCCCACAATTGTAGTGAAAAGTTTAAAAAGAAGTTGTGGTGCAGTTATTGTAAAGCATCTAATCATACAGACAAAGCATGTAGAAGAAAACATAATAATTCATCAACAAAACAAGTGAGAGATGAAAAAGCTCCAGAACATGATTTTATGTTTACGTTAGTTGATGATTTAAATGATGATAAATTTTGTTTTAAATCGTTACTTGTTGACTGTGGCGCCACCAGTCATGTGATAAATGATGCATCAAAATTCATTAGCTATGACAAAAATTTTGACCCTAGTAAACATTTTATTGAACTTGCAGATGGCACAAGGTTAAATAATATTGCTCTAAAAAGGGGAAACGTGAAAATGAATATGAATACTTTTGATGGCCGAATAGTTACTGCTGAATTGAAAGATGCACATTACGTTCCATCCTACCCGCAAAATATTTTTTCTGTACAATCAGCTTCTGAAAATGGAGCAACAATTACTTTTGGTAAACATTCTGCTAATATGACTGCCCCTGATGGAACAAAGTTTGATATCTAAAAACATGGCAAACTATACTATTTGTATACAAATAAATCAACAACAAAACAATCAGGAAGTTTAAAACATTGGCATGAAATCATGGGTCACTGCAACACCAATGATGTTTTGAAATTGGAAAATGTTGTAGAAGGTATGAAAATTACAGATAAATCCAGTTTTAGATGCGACATCTGTAGTATGGGAAAGATGTCTCAATCTCGAAACAGGGAAAGTGATACTCGTGCTACCTTTCCTCTAGAATTAGTTCACAGCGATTTGACTGGCATCATCAAACCAACTTCACTAAATGGATTTCAATATGCAATGTCATTTATAGATGATTTCACTGGAATCATTTTTCTCTATTTCCTGAAACAAAAGAGTGATGCTGTTAGAGCAACAAAATGTTTTTTTGCTGATGCCGCACCTTATGGCAGTGTAAAAAGATTAAGAACTGATAATGGTACTGAATATACATCAATGGAATTTAAATCACTGTTGATTCATCACAGCATCAAACATGAAAGGTCAGCACCGTTTTCACCGCACCAAAATGGTACGGCCGAAAGAGGATGGCGTACGTTGTTTGAAATGGCTCGTTGTCTTCTTTTGAATGCAAATCTGCCAAGAGAACTCTGGTGTTATGCTGTAAAAGCTGCATCGTACATCAGAAATCGTTGTTATAATCCAAGAACAGGTTTAACACCGTTCCAATTGTTTACAGGTAAAAAGCCGAATTTAAGCAATATGCATATTTTTGGTACCACATGTTTTGCGTACAAACAAAATAAGATGAAACTTGATGATCGCAGTGAAGAAGGTATATTTGTTGGATACGACAAAGAAAGTCCAGCTTATTTAATCTACTTTCCAGACACAAACAAGATACATCGATGTCGCTCTGTAAAATTTACAGATGATGTTTTAAATAAAAGTATTAACCAACAAAAGGCAAATGACAACAATGCGCAAGAAGACGAGGAAGTGAACACAGATAATAATCGTGAAAGTAAGGTTGTTCAAACTGAAACCAGATATCCCAAAAGAGATAGAAAACCGCCGAAGCGTTTTGATGAATACTATCTGAATAACGAAATTGAAAATGAAACAGACTATTGTTGTAAAATGTCTATTACACCACAGACTTACAGTGAAGCAATGTCATCACCATATTCCGCTGATTGGTATAAAGCAATGAAAATTGAAATTGATTCCTTAATAGAAAACAACACATATGAACTTAAACAATTGCCTGAAGGCCGAAAGTCAGTGGGGGGAAAATGGGTTTACTCCATAAAATTGGATAAAGATGCTAATGAACAATACAAAGCCCGATTTGTTGCAAAAGGATATAATCAAGAAAAAGGAGTTGATTATAATGAAACATTTGCACCAACAGCTCGTTTTACATCTATTCGTGTAATAATGCAATTTGCTGTACAGTATGACTTAATCGTGCATCAAATGGATGTTAAATCTGCCTACTTGAATGCACCCATTGATTGCGAAATTTATGTTGACCAACCAGAAGGATTTGAAGTAAAGTCAACCTCGGAAAATTTAGTATGCAAGCTAAATAAATCTTTGTATGGATTGAAGCAAAGCGGACGCAACTGGAATTGTTTACTTCACAATTTCATAATCGAAAGTAATTTCTCAAGATCTGGTGTAGATAACTGTGTCTATTATAAATCAGCTGACAATGGATTAACCATCTTGTTGATTTGGGTGGATGATATTATAGTGGCTGCGAGCAATGATTCTTTGTTGGACGATGCGAAGACTTCACTAAAACTGCGTTTCAAAATGAAAGACTTAGGTCAACTCAAGTGGTTCTTAGGTATGCAATTCATTCAAGAAAAAGATGTAATAAAAATAAATCAAACTCAGTATTTGACTAAATTACTAAGTAAATGCAACATGGAAAACTGCAAACCAAGACTCACACCATGTGAATTGAAGTTGAATAATGATGTTCATAAAGACATGATAAAGGATGATAGTAATTTCTATCGAATGGTTGTCGGGAGTTTGATATATGCAATGACCTGTACACGTCCTGATTTGTGCTATGTTGTTAATATGTTATCACAACATCTAGCTAATCCTAGCAACGAAATGCTTGTTACGATGAAACATGTACTAAGATACTTGAAGGGAACGTTAAATTATTCCTTATGTTTCAGAAAGAACAAGAAAGGATTGAAATTAACAGGTTTCAGTGATGCAAGTTGGGGATCATTAAATGATAGAAAAAGCATAACTGGATACTGCTTCAGTTTAAATATAGATGGTCCATTAATATCATGGAAAAGTAAAAAACAAACAACAGTTGCATTATCTACTTGTGAAGCTGAGTATATGGCGTTAGCAGCAGCTGTCCAAGAATGTTTATTTCTAACTCAACTGTTACAAATTTTCAACAAATATTATAAACAACAATCTACAATTATTTATGAGGACAATCAAGGAGCAATTGCCTTAGTTGATAACCCAGTATACCATCAAAGATCCAAACATATCGATATCAAATATCATTTTGTGCGTGATGAATGCATTCGTGACAAAGTAAAAATTTTGTATCTGCCATCTGAAGAAATGGTTGCGGATGTGTTTACAAAGCCTATTTCAAGATACAAGTTGGAAAGAAATAGAAATTTTGTTTTTGGAACATAATTAATTTCTGAAACATTGAACATATATGTATGTAAACATTTAATTATATATATATATATGGGCATTTTACTATGTTAAAACTAATGGCGATGCACAACTCGAGTGGGGGTGTTAGAATAGCGTAAGCGAGTAAAGCGCATCGACATTATTGTAGTAGTGATTAACTTTTAGTGTGTATATGATTTTTATAAAACTTTCTTCTTCTTGTTGTTGTAGTTATTAACGTTAAATGTACGTTTAATAAAATTATAAATCTTGTTACATCGTCGTTATCAACTCTGTTACTTCAACACGATACGAATGCAATAAAGAATATCATGATGTGATATTGATATAGTGGAGGATTCTGTAAGAGTGTGCATGTCCAGTTACGTATGAATGGAAACAGAAGAGATTAGTGGGCTGTCATAAAATCTATCGAAAGTAATAAAGACGAGCACTGATGCATAATGGTGGATAGATGGATGCTGACATCCAGCCCATGAAGGCGGTCATCATTAAAATGTATGTCATATTTATGGCCCATTTCCTAGAAAAAGAAATGTACCTAATAAAAAAATTAGAGATAATAAAATGACAGAAATAATTTCACGGCACTGTAGCATAACGTGCAATGAGGAACGCATCAATCGGCTGTGTGAAAATTGTACAGCTACCCAGAAAATACTAAAATTAAAAAAAAATAGCCAATTAGCGAGTTGCAACTGCCTTTGATGTCGATGACAAGCAACAAACATACAGACAAACAAAAAGACAAGACAGACAAAGAAAAAACAGACAGACAGATAGATAAACAAACAAACGGATGACTGAGATCGTATGAACATTAAACACGCTTCAGCCTTAGCCTAATATTTGTGTCCTTACTAATCATCGCCGAAATAATTATCAATTATACATTTTTCCAAAACATTTTTCCAACCGAATACAACATAATTAATATTATTTTCACAATACAAGTTGTTACAAAATAATTGTAGACAAAACAAAAAATCTCAAAAAAAGTATGAAGCATAGAAATCTGTGCGGCTGCAGACAAGCGTCTATGTAATTGAGATATTTTCAAATGGGGCATCAATTTTTTTAGCTCAAAATCGCACATCAGTATACAAATTCATCTATCGGCATACTGGTTGAAATGGAAATCTCCATTTTCAACGTTACATATGCGTGTGCACGATGATTTGACATCCTAAATTAAGTTAATATAACAAAACACAAATATAAATAGCTAATAATTCATTAAAAACAAATTTTATCATTGAATTTGAGGATGGCTATAGAAAGCCAAGAAAACAAATCATGTTAGGAAGCTGTCTGGAATATAAAAAATGCTTGAAATATTAAAAAAATTGTAATTTTAAAAGGAATATTGTACAAGAATATTGTGATAAGATCGAAGAAAGTGTGTTTTTATTGAACGCAAAAAACAAATTCACAATCCGATCTAGCAGGGATTACTTCACATGACGGAAATTTGTTTTAAAGTGAAAGTTATTAAACTTTTAAACTTCCACTTTTAAGAACAATGTGAAACTAATTTGACCGGCCCAACACCAAGAAAGGATGAAAAAATATTTAATAATATAAAATATAAAATAAAATATTAAACATGCCTCTAAACATCACTTAAAAGCAGTTTAATGGATGATCTTTTACAAAAAAGACACATCGTTTAAAAAAATATTTCCTAAAAAAATACTCATTCGCCCATCAATAAAAATTTAAAAAAATTACTGACAGAGTAAGATCCTCTGACGATAGATTCGAAGAGGTGCTGTTTGGTGCCGTAGAAGGGCGTCTGACCACTGAGGAGAATGTAGAGGAGGACACCAAGTGACCACACGTCGGCCGGCTTGCCCGATGGCTCCTGTTTGATGACCTCTGGTGCTACAAAGTGCGGCGATTCTATGACGCCTACAGTGGTTGGTGGAGTGGTAATTTTATTTTTTATTGAATTATTTATTTAAAACTGTAACGACGATGATGCAATGACGATATGATGCGATAGTGAGATGATAAGAATGATGTAGCTATAAAGGTTAAAGGTTTCTCTCTCTCTTTTGCGTTTGCTTCAGAGGTTTCAACGACAAACACACACAGCGTATATGAATACGCGTGCAAACCACGCATCATACACATTGCGGATATGATAAGCGGGGATCTCTATGTATTCGAACCCAGTCATTACAATAGCAAGACCAGGCGCTTTTAACCATTGAGGCATCACGCCGCCCTATAACTTTGTAATCTTTATAAGATATCATAAGATATGATGAGGAGGGGAATTGAGACGAAACGCCGATGATGATAATAATGATGATGATAATAATAATAATAATTTCGATTTAGTAACAATCGGTAGACGGTGATAACGATGACGTCATAATGAATGACGTAATGATAAATGGTCTCGTGACGTCATCGGACGAGAGGACACAATTCTTAAAGAGGCAGCGTGATAGAGTGAAGGAATGGTTGGAAAGAACGAAAGAGAGAAAGAAAGAAAGCAAGAAAGAGAGAGAGAAAGAAAGAAAAAAAGAAAGAAAAAAAGAGAGAAAGAAAGAAAGAGAGAGAGAGAGAGAGAGAGAGAAAGAAAAAGAAAGAACGAGAGAGAGAGAGAGAGAGAGAGAGAGAGAGAAAGAAAGAAAGAAAGAGAATCACCTCGCACTTTAATAATTATCACGGTGCGGTTATGGTGATGATGGAACAGTTGATAATAGGAAGTGATAACAATAATAATAATAATAAAATCATATAATCATAATTTTCCAACTAAATTTATATTTTATAATAATAAAATCATTAACTTTTTAATCAAATTCTCATTTAAAAAATGCAGACAACATCGTATAACCATCAGAAATTGCATCATATAACAGGCATCGATATAGATTCATTTAAGACCTCAAATAAATAGCTGTAATAAATTACAAAATATAATTTAACTAGAAAAGGAGAGAAAAATATAAAACCAATGAAAAGATTTTCAACTGCAAAAGTACAAGAAAAAAAATGGAACACGTTTCTCGTAAAAAAGTCGTGAAGTCAAACGCTGTTGCTAACCATCATACAGCTCCATCCTTTAAATAAAACAACTTCTCCAGAATACATATCCCAGCTTATGATCAAGAATATAAAACTTAAGCATTCAATATTGAAATCAGACTCAACTTCAGAGGTGAAAATATAATTAAATAAAGCGAATCCTATGTACCATGTAACAATATCTAGGAAACTGCACTTCATATAACACAATCTATCAATATATAACACATCTCAGTAACTTTGTCAATGAAACACATCCTTACATAACACACCCCACCATTCATATAGCACCATCCACTAACAACAACAACCACAACACAAACCACAACAACCACAATACCACCAACAACACTAACAACAACCACAACAACACAAACCACAACAACACAAACCACAATAACAACCACAACACTAGCAACAACAACACCAACAACAACAACAACGAGACAATCGTCGTTATCCTCATCATCCAGCATCGCAGTGTCCATCCTACAAAATGACCATCCAAATTTCTAATACCCCAAGTGAACTGACCTATTTATACGAGGCACTGCCTAAAAAATGGATAATAATTCACTTTCTATTTTTTCATTGAATGCGACGGAGAATAAATCCCGATGCAAAAATTGTTTCTTGGGCTTTTTTAATATTAGAATTTTTAGGAAAACTGGCTCCAACTTTTTTATGGATGATCGTAAATGAATTGAGAATGATTCTTATTGCCTTACTAGTTAAAAATAACAACTATCGTTGCAGCTGTTAGCATACAATGTATTAGAGAATTATGAACAGGTAAGTAACGTCAACTGTCTGATGGGTTGTTGTTGGCGTCTTTACGTTAAAATGTTGTTGGTGTCTTTTCATTAAAATGTTGTTGGTGTCTTTTCATTAAGATGATTTCATTTGAATAAAAAGATAAATAAATAAAAAAAAAGTGAATTAAATTTCATGTCAAACAAAGAAAGTAAGAGTTACGAATCAAATGAATTCACGATCTGCATAAGCAACTTTTTCACTAAAGGCATGTCTCACAAGCCCATTTTCTACTTATGAACATTTTATTTCGCCATTAATGAGTTGAATTATATAGAAAAAGAGATTAAAATCACAAAATTTCCTTCTTCTACGCCTTATAACTGAATGCCTACCATTAATATAACCCCACACACACACACATCCACATTCAAACTAGTTTGTATGTTGTTGTAAATTTGCATATACAAACTACAGAATATACAAATACAAACTACAGAATATACAAATACAAACTACAGAATATACAAATACAAACTACAGAATATACAAATACAAACTTCAGAATATACAAACTACAGAATATACAAATACAAATTAAAGAATATACAAATACAAACTACCGAATATACAAATACAAACTACCGAATATACAAATACAAACAACAGAATATACAAATACAAACTACAGAATACACAAATACAAACTAAAGAATATACAAATACAAACTAAAGAATATACAAATACAAACTAAAGAATATACAAATACAAACTACAGAATATACAAATACAAACTAAAGAATATACAAATACAAACTACCGAATATACAAATACAAACAACAGAATATACAAATACAAACTACAGAATATACAAATACAAACTACAGAATATACATATACAAACTACAGAATATAAAAATACAAATTACAGAATACACATATACAAACTCCGGAATGTATACATACACAGACATGCCAGTGTTCAAAATGATCGAGACGACCTAGAAAATTATTCACTCAATAATGTTGATACAACTCATGTACGCACATACAATACGCACATACAATACATATACATAAACATACAATACACGCACAGTCAACACATATAAATACAACAGACGCCCATAAAATACATATACACACATACATGCATACACATACAATACACATACATGCATACACATACAATACATATACATGCATACAATACATACCTATAAAATACATATACATACAGTATATCAACACACAGTACACGTTCATACAATACACACAATACCCGCACGCACAATGCATTCATCTTGAGAAGATCTCAGAATGCCTAACCCATTTCCACAACACAGACCATTCGAGATAAAAATAAGAACAATGAAATGGCGTTTTTTAAATCCTGGTGATAAATTACAAGCGTATGTATTAGATTTATTTATTAGGGAATAAAGCTCATTACAAATTGCATGTCATAAATATAACTCCGTGGAAATAAGCCAGAGTATGGTGAAAAAGTAAATATACATGCTTTCTACAGCAATAAAGTTGAAAGTGGACAGCTGGAAAATATGACAAGGCATCACAATTATCATTGCCATCATCACCATCATCATCCTCATTCTCATCATCGTCATTGTTACCATCATCATTATCGATAACCATATAAACGGCATCATCACCATTATCAATGTCATATCATTAGTAGAAACCGCATAGTCATAATCACCACTCTAGTGAACAACTGCACTATCATCATCACCATCCCCATAATTATCATCATCATCAACACCACCATCGTCGCCATCGTCATCGTCGTCATCATCACCAGTCCCATGTCGAGATCCTTATTAGCACTCAGTTGGAGAAATGGCTCAATAAAGATTTCAGCGGATAAGTGGATTAATGAAATAACAAAACTGGAAAAAACAAACAATCATAGTCATGATGGAAATATGTGCGATGCAGATTTGAGGTGATATGATATAAGGTGACGTGTGGTAATACGAGGAGATATAAAAAAAGATACAGAAAAATACAAGACAATATAAGTTGACATAAGATGCTATAAAAAAAATGATACAAAGTTTTATAAAATGATAAGATTAGATACGCGATGGTATGATGAGATATAAGATGATATGAGGTGATGCAAAATGATACGAGACGACACAAGATGATACGAGACGAGACGATACGACTGTTCGTGCGCTTATGCTCATAAAATTTTAACCTCATGAAAACAATTTTGCGTGGTTTTGCTGCCTGATGGGGAATCATAAGACTCGTATGGTTGTAAAAAAAATAATTCGGACTATTTCGACAAAGTGGAAAAGAAGAAAGAAAATGAAATAGTAGTTTGAAAAAAAGAGCCAGAATGGTATGTGAAAGCATCATTTATTCAAAACCCACATACTGAAGCATGTTAACAAAGACTGATGGTTTGTGACAGCAGCAGGTAACAAATAGCATGCAAAATGAACGTGTAAGTTGTTTACATCAACTTTTAATTGGAACCAGGCTAAAAGGTTTCTAAAATGAAATGGCCAACTCGCCGCACAGAAGCTCTCATCCTCATCGAGTCAATATATAGTCAATATATCTCAGTCATATATAGTCAATATCTCAGAAATATCGTCAAATCAAATTTCAACCAACTTTTGTTGAAACATCTACCAACATCTCTTCATCGCCAGACAGCATTCCCAACAACGACAACAACAACAACAACCACAACGACAACAACAACGACAACAACAACAAAATAATCAGAAGGTTTGATTTTACAAATGCACACAAGTGTATCATCATTCTTCCCACATTTCCCCTGCTCTAATTGATTGAATTTATTATAAAAAAATGCACTAAACCGTACATATTATAAGAGCACGTTTATAAGCACCGATGAATCGTGTATATTTGCAGGGTACGCACATGCGGGCCACACAAAAAATACATCAACAAAATCTCTGTTTATGCATCCAGAAAAATTCTTGAACCGATATAATAAAATTAAAATATACACAAACAAACAGACAAGAAGACAGACAGACACACACACACACACAAACACACACAACAAACATTCAGCAACATAAATGGTCAATGCATTGGAACCTGGAG